AAATCTTAATGAAGGAGATTCTGAAAACACATTTTCTTTATTAAGATTTCTCAAATGCACAGATCAATAGACATAATACATACTGTTTAAAGTAAAAATGGGGCATCTATTTCAATTACTAGTGTCCACTTTAATTAGGTTTGAAGTAATAAATATAGACTGAAGTAATATATATATATATATATATATATATATATATATATATATATATATATATATATATATTCTGAAATATTACTGCAATGTCTTCTCCCATTTGAAGAGAAAATTTATTTGTATTTTTAAATGGAAGTTCTCTTTTACAATTTGCTCTCCAGCTGAATGACTGCTTATAAAAGGGAGACAACTCTCTTTTAAGACTTCTCTTTATATCAGCTTGTAAATTTCTTTTCTTCATTTTCTGTCAAGCTTTTATTCTCTCAGACCCATAATATTATTACTCTCTTCTCTTTTTGCATAAAAGAGAAATCCCATTCTAATTTCAAATAATAGAGAGACATTTACAAAAAACAGAAAAACGGCTTGAGATGTGAACACAGGGCTGATGGCTTAGAATTTTATGCAAAAAACATATCCTGCATTTGTGGGTGAAAAGGGAAATACATATGCTTGTTTTATTAGGCCATTATTCTTGAATCCAACCATTCATTCTCAGAACACAAATTTAGATATCAATATTGTTTAATGTTAGGGAAATTTTTGGTAAAGGATTTGTCAATAAAAACTAATCCATCTCCTTTGAATAAGAGATGCACAATATTTGAGCTCACATTTTATGATTTTATGGTATATGCACAATGAGAAAAATAATTATTCAATACACAAAAACAGCTTCTGTTGGGTCCGAAAAAAAAAAAAACAAGGCGGTCTGGATGTTTTTCATCAGTTGCTACCTGTAATCAGTCGATTTGGGGACAATACTAGTCTGATTTTGCAGAAAATGTTAGAATGCATAATAATGGCCTTTCAACCCTACCAGATATATGAATAAAGACTGACTATTTATTTTCATTTCACATTGTTGTAAACAATCCATTTTTCATGATTTTTTTTTACAGTAAGATTCACCCTGTAGAAGGGGCCACTCAAGGTAGAGGGTTATGTTAAGGGGTAGTTTATATAGATAGGAGGGGAAGATAATGGTTAACTCTAGACTTGAGCAGATTAAGATTGTAGTGATCAGGGAAACATCCTCTTGGGTGTCTGTTTCACAGAGCAGTAGTTCCCAGGAAAAACTACTCAAGTGGAACTTACTTCTTGCCAATTGAATATGGCGGGTATGTGGGTGGTTTGCTACGACATAAGTGACATGACGGGTCCTAGCCATGTAGATTAGACCTGGCAGAACTAAGGAATGTAGTTTGTTCAAGCACATTCTATGGAAATAGTGACACAGTATCTGTGATCGTTCTTCACAAAAATAGTTTCTTTTATTGCATTTGCAATGTGGACCTGCATCCAAAATGATTCATGGATCCAAGAGTTTTCAAATACCTGACAATACTCATGTGTGGAGTACCTCTGCGATGTCATGTGTTGTGTGACCGTCATTATTTTTAATCAGCATTTCAATTTGGTCGTTAATTAATGACTGCCGTCTGTCTGGAATGTTCTTAATCCTCCAAATGAAAATTTCTACTTATGAATCTAGCAAACTGCTTACTAGTCATGCTATCAGTTATAGCACAATCTCTATTAATGGTACATATATATTTTGCTGTTTATATGTCATGAGCATCTTCTTCTTCTATGTATCATATCCCTTCAAGACATTGGCGATCATGGGTCTCCACAATTTCCTATCCTTTGTAGCTCTTTTTGTTATCTCTCCTAAACCTTCTTCAGCCATCTATTGACTCAAGCTCACCAGGTAGCTTATTCATTGTTTTCATCTCTCCCTCTTCAATCTTACCTGTAAGTATCAAATTTTCCAAGACCTCTTTCTTCATTATTTACCCTAGAATTTTCAACTGTCCCTTTCTAATGTTATATTATGATTGTTCTTTTTTTCCATTTTCTTCTAAAACTTTGTCTTTGTTCACATATTTGGTTCATGGTATTCTCAGCATCCTTCTATAGAACCACATTTCTGTTGCTTTAAGTCTCTTATTTATCTGTGCGGAGATTGTCCAGCATACACTGCCAATATAGGAGAACCAATATTACATTCAGTGCTCTTTTCTTTGTTTCTAACAAAATTTTACTGTTTCTTAATAATTTGCTTAGCTTTTGAAAAGCATCTTTCGCCTTCAGATTTCAGTGTTGCACTTTCTGTCCTCTGTTAAAACACTTCCCAGATATTTAAATTGTTGTACTTGTTTGATTTTGTTATCTCCAATTTCTAATTTGCATATTGGGTTGGCCCTTGGGCTAACAATCATCCATTCAAATGATGAAAATGCATCTCATTTTCCTCTATGTTTCACTTTTAATGAGAAAACATTGGAAATTTACAATCCACACATGAATTGTATAGAAGGACACCTTGCAATATCACCTCTCAGAATATGTATATTGATTTACTAAGTGTGGCTTAGATGTTGCACAAGGCCAAAAGTTTGGAGCACTCTTTGATGATCAAACTCAATACCCAGTTACAATTGATCTGGCAGGGCAAGCTTTCTAACCATTACTCCACATCAAAGTGCCCCTCTCAGAATATGTATATACATCATTTACTCAAACATTGGAATGTCACCTCTCAGAATACGTATATATGTCATAAATTTCACTCATGGACGGTCAGCGCTAAGGTTTCACTCCCTCTAAAACTTTTATATGCACCCCCTCTCTACTACATATTGATTTGAAAGTTTCCCAAACTGGGTGCCACAAAATCTCAAAGGAAAATTGGGTGGGAAAGGCAATGTTTTTTTAAATTACCAAAAATCAGGGAATTATCCAATTTAAATGAAAATTTCAGAACATATTCATTAATTATTTACTTTTATAGTGAATAGGTTTTTTCATTAAAAAAAAATCTGAGAAAATGTTATCCTTTTTGTAATAGCTACCATTTTCATGACTATGTTTTACTTGAAAAAAATACTTAAGTCGCAATTTTTTACATTTGCATAAAGATTAATTGCCGATGCATCTACAATGAAAAAAATGTTTTACAGATTCCAACACAACACAATTGTCTTAAAATTTGTTTTAAAAACAGTATTTCCGTTTGCAGGAAAAATTTTCATGTGCTGAAATCTTTAAACATTTTTTTAATTTTTTTTTTTAAGCGATCATTTTCTTCGTTTTATCTTTCTAGAAATGTAAAAAATCAGTACTAGAATTTTTATTTTAATTACTAGCCAAGGACTTCTTGTTAGTATTACTATTATTAAGAAAAAATTCAGAGATCCTCCTTAGTGTGTGATCTCAGAATAAAAAATGATTTTACCAAGATATGTTACCCTCTTAATTGATTTAAAATAACTATTCAGGAAAAATTACAATTTAAAAAAATGAGCACAACTGAAATTAGCACTTCTGACCAATCCTACCCACCCACCCATCCTCCCCAGTTGGCATGGGGCTCCACGCCATTGAGAGGTTTGGAGCACTAAGCACCGAACCTGTCGATTATAATTTACTAGCAGTAGAGCCCGGCGTTGCCCGGGGATGTAACAGTAAGAGATAGATCAAGTATCGACCATCATAAAGACTGAAAAATAAAATTGACAAAGATTATTGTTTAAGGTTGACGGACACGCATGTCTTAATTAGTTTTTTTTTTTTTTTTTTACCAATTGGTCAAACCCAAACTCAAACAAAAACATTGTTTTCAATCGTTATGAGTCTACCGATTGAATAGAATTTTATTATAAACAATTGTCTTGTAAATGGAATTTTTAAAGCATTCTGAATGTAAAAATAAAGAAAAAAATGTGCAAGACAATAAGAAACGCTACCTGCTAAAAAAAAAGTGAAGTTTTGTTGAAATCGGTTGAAAAATGTAGGAAATCCGATCCTATATATAAATGAACACACACACACACATACACAAACACACACATACACACAAACAACCTGGGTTTTATAATATGTATAACTCGATATGAATTGTTCCCCTTTCATTCTCGCGATGCCTCTTAATCGTGTTTTCAAATTGATTTTGTGCAAAAACAATTGTGTTTTTCCAATTTTTGGCTCTGTCAGAACCACCGCAAGGTAATTTTACGTAGTCCCGTGAAGATTTGTTGAAATCGGTTGAAAAATGTAGGAAATCCGATCCAATATATAAACGTACACACACACACACACACACACACACACACACACACACACACACACACAACCTGGGTTTTATAATAAGTATGATAATTGACAATATAACTTCCACAGAAAAAAAGTAAAAGGTAAAAATATTAAAAAAAAACACTACTGAAACTCGTCCTCTTGGGGCTCCAAACGCGTCGGGGGTTCCTGCATAGTACACACTGCACCGGCTATGCAGATGCACGATGTATACTATTACTATTAGTTGATGACTGAAAATGTAACGTCAGTTTTAAAATAATTTTTTAAAAATGGCGGATGGCCATAAAACAGTTCTGAAAAAAAAATTGACAGAAGCCAGGACGGGGCACTCAAAAATGCGCAAGCGGGCGGGATTTCGGGTGTAAAACGCGCCAGCCCTGGTCACATGTAAAAATAAAATGAAATTATGTGCTCAAACAATGCAATGTCACCTCTCAGAATACGTATATGTCATAAATTGCAGTCATATGTAACAATTTTTTTCAATTCGTTTTCTACGACGTATCAACCCTTTTCAGATTATTTAAAGTCAGGAAATGTTTAGATTGTAAGAATATTTTTAGGGAAAATAATGATGATTTAGTGATACAAGGCTTACTAATTAACCCATAGCTGGGGTAGAAGACATGGATTCATAGCTTTCAAAGGTGTATTTGCGTGTAAGTGAATATAACGAACCCAACAAGAATTGGAACTCGGCTCTCCGATTAATAATTCCGAGCCATTATCCATTACACCACCAGCTTACAGCACCTGGTATTTCCAAGTCGTCACCCATCTAGGTACTGACCAGGCACAATGTTGCTTAACTTTTGTGATCGTATGGGAACCTGTTTTTCAACGTGATGTGGCTGTTAGCCATGCGAAACGAAATTATGTGTCCAAACATTATCCATTAAAAAAAGAACAAAAAAAATGCTATAATCTTTTGTATCAATATAATGAAAAAGCCAAACTAATTTTCTTTTTCTCTGATCTGAATTTGTTTCTCTTTCAGATCATTTCTGGCAGTGTTCAAGTTCCAGAGCTCCAGATTAATTTAACATCTTAATGCTGTCACCTCAGATAAACTATGCTGGTATCAGCGTACATCTTGTTGCTGGCCCTTCGTGTGTGCCTTGGCATAGACCTTACTTACACGGTAGAAGAAGGCAAAAATGCAGGCACTCTTTTAGGGGACATTGCTGAAGATACCCACCTGATGGACAACATTCAGCCAGCGGATCGCAAACTCATTACCTTCAGCCAATTGCAACAAGGCACGAATAAAGTTTCTCGCCTTTTTCGCATCTCCAAGGAGACGGGTAAACTCTACACAGCCCAAGAACTGGATGCAGAATCTCTTTGCAGACACGGCGTCGAGTGTTTCCGGATTGTCAAGATCGCTGTCCGCCAGGCAGAGACATTCATGAAGATTTTAAAAATGAAAGTCACCATCAAAGATGTTAATGACCACCAACCCGAGTTCCCAGTCGAAGTAGTGAACATCCAGTTTTCTGAAGATGATGGCAAGGGTGTTCGAAGGTTCATCCCAAGCGCAATAGACAAGGACAGTGGAGATCTTAATTCCCAGATCATGTACCGACTGGTCAAAGGCAAAGACGAACCGTTTTCTTTGTCAGTTTCTGAAAGCGTTGACGGTATATCAGACCTCAGTATTGTGTTGCAAGAGAGACTTAATAGGGAGGTTCAAGATGCTTATACAGTTCAAGTTGTTGCTGAAGATGGAGGATCTCCTCCCAAACAGAGTACACTAGATGTTCACGTTACAGTGACAGACGTCAATGATAATCCACCCATTTTCTCTCAGAATGTCTATAATGTATCAGTGAACTATGAAAGTGATGAGGTAACGCCTGTGACGATTGTGTCTGCGATGGATTACGACTCGAAGAAAAATGGTAAGATTTCTTATCGCTTCGGTGACAGAACTTCTGAAAGTGCCAAATCTCAGTTTGAGATTGACGAGAAAACAGGCGAGATTTTCTTGAGAAAAAAATTTTCTTCTTCTCTTCAAAAAACAAAATTTAAACTTTATGTCCGTGCGACAGACAATGGCAACCCGGCTCTGAGCTCTACCGCAAAAGTGTTGGTGAATATAATTAATGAACACAACAATGCCCCAACCATTGATGTAAATTTTGTTTCTTCTTCGTCCCGAAACGTCACTACTATACGTGAAGACGTGGAGGTAGGTAGCTTTATTGCCTATGTAATGGTTACCGATGATGATGTAGGCCGAAATGGGGCTGTCGCTTGCGATCTCCAACATGAGAAATTTCAGCTGCAGAGCCTGGGTGTCAAAGAATATAAACTCATTGTAAAAAATACGATTGATAGAGAAACAGAACAGTATCATGACGTAACTATTGACTGCCAAGACAAGGGTTCTCCTCCTCTGCATGGAAGAATTGAGTTCACCATTCGGGTGATTGATGTCAATGATGTGCGACCAAAGTTTTTCAAAGAACTCTTTAAATTCTCCGTCTACGAGAACCAAAAATCCAACTCTTTTGTCGGAAGAGTCAACGTCACTGACCCCGACCTGGGACCAGGAGGTAAACTTTTCTTCACTCTCCTTTCAAATGAAACGTTCATCCTACCTTTCCAGATTTCAAATACCGGCGAAATTTCAACAGTTATGTCTTTAGACTATGAATTCCAAAACATTTATCGATTTCAGGTTTTGGTCACCGACAACGGGACACCTCCGCTCAACAACACAGCAAATGTGATCGTGGAGGTCCGAGACGTGAATGACAATGTTCCTCATTTCACTTTTCCTAGTGTCAACCCGTTCACGATGGATGTCACCTATTACCCACGGCACACTAACAAAATCACCATCCTTAAAGCAGCAGACGGCGACAGCCGAGAAAATGCCTTTTTGAGATATCAGATTGAAGCAGGAGACGATAAGCAGCTGTTTGCCATCAACCACTACACAGGGTTGCTCTCTTTCAGTCGAGAAGTCACTCAACAAGATGCCCGTACTCATCTCTTGCAGTTAGTTGTCAAAGACAGTGGCGATCCCGTTTTGACCGCCACAACGAACTTATCGATCATTCTAACGGTAAGTAACCAGTCATCTGAGACAGGTGATACTATCCCCGGGACCAAGGACAACAAAATCCACGTCTATTTGCTGATTGTTATAGTGTTAGTTGCTGTGACAGTAGCCGTACCAGTTACAGCTGCAATGTCCATATGCGTGATCCGATGCAAGATCCGGATCAATTCCCCGCTCTCGGATAAAAGCGACGCGTCGGAGAAATGCGTCTCGGAGCACAAGCATCTGATGTGCCATGCACACATGGAAACTTACTGGCCTCATACGCCTCTTGCAAGAACTGCAAGTTCCAATATAGCCCAGAAGAGTTCGATGCTAGAGCCAAGAAGAAGAACGTCGTCAGGTGATTCCATTTTAAGGGGTCACAGACGAAGAAGCTCATCCACCGGCTCAAGATTCCAATGCACAAAGGAAGCCATCTACGAGGTAAGTATGAACCTGCTTAAATATCTGTCTGGATTTCTGGGATGAAGAGTTTTCATTATTCCCGTTGTTTACATGCAGACTAATATCCTCATCTGTGTTGCTATAATCGCGATGTTTTAGTTGTAACTGAACTGAGCTAGATAAGAGCAAGACAAGAAATCCCTAGATATGGTCAGTAGAAGGAGAACAATCCAATTTACCCCTGTATATTAAATAAAGGGTCTGGCACAGAATTCTCTGAAAGTTACTCCAATTGACAAGCACCTGATCAAGGCCGGATATCACAACAGCCGAAAAATTGTGGTAACAACTACAAAAATGAAGACAATAACCTGAATGAAAATATTGTAAATAGCTTTATTCATATATATTTTTTTCGCTTCCAGTGACTCGTATGCACGAGTTTGTCGTTGCTTGGAAATCTTCCATGCAAACAAAACAGACTATCATTGTTGTTATGTCCGTGTATTGTTTAATTTATTGTAATGTACTTGTCATCTCTGATGATGGCTTATGTAAGCTGAAAGCTTAGATAGAATTAAAAAACATGTATCAATATGGTGATTTTCTTTCGTCTTTCAATGATGATGTTATTAAGCTTATCAGACGATATGAAAGGAATTTGCTCAAAATAAATAGACAAAACTTGTCTATATTATTTAATGAAACTTGCATGAATATATATATATATATATATATATATATATATATAGAGAGAGAGAGAGAGAGAGAGAAAGAGTGAGAGATTCTTGATAAACTTGAAAGAAGAATCTGCAGTGTTAATGGTCCTGTCCTAGCATCTCGGCCTCAGTCTCTTTCCTACCACTGTAATGTAGCTACCCTGTGCTTTTTCTATAAATACTTTCATGGTAATTGTTCTCATGAACTTTCTGCTATGGTACTTACACTTTATGAATTTAAGCACAGTACCCGATTGGCAGCAAGTTTTCCTCATTTTCAGTTGAAATGGCTAACCGTAATTGTAAGTTCTATGCTAACAGTTTCTTTTATCGGACCTTCGTCTTGTGGAACTCTCTTCCATCTTCTTGCTTCCCTGTCAAGTTTGGTCTTCAAAAATTTAAATCATTATCTTCTATCTTTTTAATTCTTATTCTTTTATGGTCCTCTCTCCTTAATAGTAGTTTTTCTCATTTTTTCTAACACTCAGTTAACCCCTTTGTGTGTTAGTAGCTTTAAAGCCTTGCTTGGGGTGAAATGATTAAAAAACTATTTAGATTTGTTGATTTGTTGTGAAAGCAAAATATCATATACCATATGTTTGTTACTTCAAAGCTCCCAAGAAAATTAAATTTTGGAATTAAATGACCCATGAGGAGTCAATATACCATGAAAAAACAAATCACTCAATCAATCAGTTGCTACTGATATAAATTTCTAAAAATTTATATCAGGAGCAACTGAAAGTGGAAGAGATATTTCATTATGCATAGCATGTTTTGGGCAATTAGACCTGGTGGAGCCCATCCCTCTCGTGTCTACTCTTCATATCTAAGTTAAAAGTCAGAGAGGTATTTTATCATGCATAGAATGTCTTGGGGAAATAGACCTGGCAGAATTGGACATCACCAAGTCAAACCACAATTGATTTCTTCCATTTTTTTCTTCATGAGAGATGAACTAAGATTTAGAAAATGAGATAGATAGATAGATAGATAGATAGATAGATAGATAGATAGATAGATAGATAGATAGATAGATAGAGAGAAGCAATAAACAAACATAAGATAGATAGATAGATAGATAGATAGATAGATAGATAGATATGAAAAGACTGAAATAGATAGAGATTTAGATAGATATACAGCCAAAGAGATGAAAATCTGGGAGAGACAGGGAGAGAGAAGGATGAATAAATAGACTGAGAAACCCAGCAACCTGTGTTGCTAATGCATTGATTGCATCTATGTCTATGGAGCCCAGTTTAGCCTATCATGCTAGATGGCCATTGATCCTACAAGAAGTTTCATCTGCCCTTTGACAATGTTTTTAATAATGTTGAGCAAAACAAGTAAAAAAGAGAATTTTTTTATACTTTACTCAATACAAGGCCCAAGAGCCACTCAGAGTAAGATTTTTGTGATCATGTAAGGGAAAGGAAAGGAGAAAGGAGGTGCATTATCCAAGATTTTTAATATGAAACCATGCTGCACCAGATAGATATTAATAAATGTTGGAGATTACCCAAATATGACCTGGAACCATAAAAGACAAAAGCCTTTTTTACCATGTTATAGTAGGTAGTAAGTTAATCTTGCAGACCAAATGGATGAAGTGGTGAATTTGATACTTGTTTACACTAGGGTAAGAAAGGGAGATATAGATCTAGTTTACACTTGAGTCAAAAAGTAGACCGAAGTCGTTGACTTTTGATTCAAAAGGTACATATAACTCCACTTTACAGTGGGTCCAGTTTACACAAGAGTCAAAAAGGTAGACATAGGATATCTGATTTTCAAAAGAATAAAAAAAATAGACATAGGAGGTCTGTTTTACAAAGAGTCAAAATGGTAGACAATATGTCCAGTTTACACAAGAGTCAAAAAGGTAGACATAGGATATCTGGTTTTCAAAAGAATAAAAAAAATAGACATAGGAGGTCTGTTTTACAAAGAGTCAAAATGGTAGACATATGTCTGGTTTACACAGGGGTCAAAAAGGTAGATAAAAGAAGTCTGTTCTGCAAAGAGTCAAAATGGTAGACAATAGGTCCAGTTTACACAGGGGTCAAAAAGGTAGACAAAGGAAGTCTGTTTTACAAAAGAATAAAAATGATAGACATATGTCCGGTTTATGCAAAAGTAGAAAAGGTAGATATATGAGATCTGGTTCACAAAAGGAATAAAAAAGGTTGACATAGGATGCCCGTTTTACAAAAGAGTCAAAAATGCAGACATGTCTAGTTTACACAAAAATCAAAAAGGTAGACATAGGAGATCCGGTTTGCAAAAGAGATTTTTAATCTTTTGCAAACTGGATAGGTTCGATTTACATCAGGGTTAAAAATGTAGATTTAAATTTAAAAAAAGTAGACACAGGTGCAGTTTTTATATTAGTCAAATAGTAGATATAAGTCTGCTTTATAGCCAAGTCTGCAGGTCACCACCCAGAAGGTGACCACTTTTAGAACTCTTCCTCATCTACAAAGGATGAATTTGGCACATTGTAAGCCTCACCAACAGGGCAGAGGCTCAAGATATTACCCCAGATGATGATTTACTTGGTTAATAATTGCAATACATTATAGGATTTTCTGGCTAGCATTTTTATATACAAAAAACAAAAAATTCATTTATATGTGCAATATATGCTGGCGTATTTTCAGCAATAAGGACAAAGGCTCTATTTTCACTTAACTGATTAGGTTACTATGTAAAAAGAGTAAACAAGTTTCCCTTCCTACTCACCTTGGTCTTTTCAGTATCATTTTAACACAATCTTTTTCAGGTCAATCTCAACATTTCTTGTCTGGGTGTATGATCATAGTGCAATTGTTGGTGAGATGCCCACAGATCATTAATGGCAAGTTCGAACTACAATGGGCTTGTGCTTTGGACCAAAACTAAACAGTGCTTTGGAAATTACTATCAGTGCCTTATCAAGCTGTAAGGGTCAGCTAAATGGATTTGTGGATTATTAATATCTAGGAAGTGTTTTAAATGGAAAATGCAAGCCCAAAATCTGAAGACACTTTAGAATAGTAAAAGTTGTCTTCCAAAAGCTAAAAAGAAACAAGAAATTTTCATTAGAAATAAATACTGAACTGTTATATAATAATAGTCCTCCTATATGGCAGTGAATGATATACAATCTCTTCACAGATGAAGAATTGACAGAAGTGTGGTTCTACATAAGGATGCTGAGAATTCAATGGCCTGAACATTGAAAATTCCGGGTTATTGAGGAAATTTGCGATTCACAGGACAGATTGAAGGGGAAGAGGAAAACATACCTATCATGCTTGTGTATGTGGGTAGCATAACAGAGTTTTGGAGAGATAAGAAAAGACAAAATATATTAAGAACTACAAAAGACAGGAAATTGTGGAGAGCCATGATAGCCAACACCTAAAAGCATACCGCACATAAAAGAAGAAAAGAAGAAGAAGGAGGAGGAAGAGCTTGTGTAAATGGATGGCAGAACAGGATTTAGGAAAGATAACAAAAAACAAAATTTATTAAGAACTACAAAAGACAGGAAATTGTGGAGAACCATGATTGCTAATGTCCTGAGGGGACATGGCACATAGAAGAAGAAGTAGAAGGAGGAGGAGGAAGGGGAGGAGGAATAGTAAATAAAATTTTAGATTCTAGGCAGAGACATTGGAAGTATGGAACTGAAGCAAATATTTTACATAGAACAGGAAGCCCAATCCTAAAGAGGAAAAAAGGGATAAACCTCTACTCCTATCCACTCTGACTGAAAACAAAAATAAAAAATAAGTAAGAAAAAAAGAATTAAAATTTTGGATTTTAAGTGGAAACATTACAAATGTAGAGTTAAATCTCTTGTAGGAGAGTAAATAATTATAAACCCCATAACATTATGAAAAGTATAGGTTATCTCCCCTTGGTTGATAAAGACCCCCTGATAGGGGAGATGAGTCCATTTATTTGATAATAATGGGTAAGACCCAAATTTAGTTGCTAAATGGATTTTAGGTGCCAAACGTACATGCTTGAAGACCACCAAGGTGTTTTAGCCTACTCCAAGAACAGCCAATTCTGGCCATAAGCAAAGCTGAATAATGCTTAGACAAGCAGCCATTGGAAGAGGAGATATGATCAGGTAATTCAGATAAGTGTTTCAATCAATTTCAAACAGATACTTGTATTTGGACTTTGTTCTCGATGCCATGATATTAACTGCTAAAGGAATATGTTGGGCAATTCTCTCTTCTCATTTTCATTGTATAATGTATTACTTATATAAAGTATGCCTTTTTTTTAAACTGTTCATATGTATCATCCTTTGTTAATCTGTCATGACTCATATGGGGAGTTGGTCATTTTTCCATAACAATAATA